ATTGCTCCTAAAGGGCTCATCTGTCCTGGATTCCCTGTATTTCCAGTTTCTATCTGTACCAGTGTACATCCTCTGGTCTAGCTGGATTTGTAAGGTAGAATTGGGATCATGATAGTGGGGGTGGGAGTGGGGGAAGAAGCATTTAGGAACTAGGAAAGTTACATGTTTTATCGTTGCAAGACTGTACCCTGACTGGCTCGTCTCCTCCCCGCAAACCTTCAGTAAGGGGGCTGTCCAGTTGGCCTTGGACCTCTTCTTGAATAGTATTTACCCAGCCGGCTTCCACAGTAAAGGATCAGCCTGTTGATGAAGGACAGGAGGAAGCTCATTGTCCCCGATCATGTGATCTGTTTGCCCTGCAGGTGCCGCTTAGGGACTTTGGTGTGGGGCCTGCCAGCTGGCTGCCCCCTGCAGAGCCCTGTTGCAGGGCAGCTGCTTGACACGCTGCAGGATGCAGTCATCCACCGCCTTGCCCAGGAAGTTGTCCAGGTAGCAGAAGCCGACATCGTGCAGGTAGGGGCATTTTCTCCAGATCCAGCCTCATAATGTATCCTAGGGGCATCTCACACAGTAGAGGTTGGGGACCCCCAGTGTGCATGCATCCTGGGAGGGATAGACCTAAGGGCAAATGGAGCTTGGGCAAAGGGAGCCTTGTCCAAGCTTCAGAGTCGAGACACCCTAGCATCACGGAGAAGGGAAAGTTACTTGCAACTCTGGGACACGGAGTCCCATTCAAGGCTAGAGGGAGTCATGCTGGGGTGGCTGCAGGATCCAGCGATGGGCTGACCTGGCAAGGAATCAGAGAACCCCTTAGGGAGAAGCAGAGTCACCAACTTGGATTCCTCTCTTTGCTCTAAGATAGTTATACTTGTCTAGGCACTGGGACAATGAACCCTAGTGGCACAGTGGTTAAGCACTTGGTTGCTAACCAAAAAGTTGACAGTTCAAACCTACCAGCTTCTCCACAAAAGCAAGTTGTGGCACTGTGCTTTGGAAACCCTATTAGGCAGTTCTACTCTGTCTTACAGCGTTGCTATGAGTAAGAATCTACTTGATGGCAACAAGTTTGGTTTTGGCTAGTTTTAGACAATGGGACAACAGAGACAGTGATGTTTGATTGTCTCATATCTCAAATATTTTATTCTTCCGAATAATAACAATGGATTATTTTTAAGTCTTCCAAAATTAAAATAGTGTTATAGAGGGTGCTGTACCTTTCTGTCCAGTAGTCTCTTCTTACGCATGGTGGGAGGTTCCAAACAGATTCGACCTCGCATGGCCAGCTCTATCAAGATGCCCCCTCGCAGCCCAGATGAGATGCAGTCATTCCAGAAAGATGTGTAACCCTAGAAAAAGAGAAAGTATACTCTGAAAGGCACT